CAGCCAGATGACATGTTCCCCACCCCAAAGGGAGGACAGGTGATTTCTGAGCTCGGAAGAAGAGCTTTGGCCACCCAGGGGACAGCAGTGGCGAGAGGGCATAGCAAAGGGGGCTCCGTAGACAGCGGTTTCGCACCCAGGGCTGGTGCGTGCCAGGGCGCTGAAACCGATTGCATAGTGGGGGTGCTGAGAACCACAGAACCAAACTACAGGTCCAGTGTATGATGGAAACCACGTCACACTGGGAGAGTGAGGCTGCCCCCCTAGTTCCAGCACCTATGGTCGGGACAGTCTTTATGGGGCCCTCTGCAGTACTATTAAACTGGTGTCCCTTGGGGACATAAAATGTTATGTGTAATCGGTTAACTGCTTAAACAGGATTGGCCGGGCTGGAATAGGCCCCCCGCCCTCGGGCCGCCCGTTAACCGGTGACTGGTAAGCATCACCCACCGAGGGCGATGCTAACTGGTTAACCAGTTAACTGTGTAACCGGTGACATCCCTAGTGTCCCTATGCCCGCCGACAGCCTGGGGGTGGGGATGACTTTTTTTACAGCTGTCAGTTGATAAGCTTCACCAACACACTCATATCATATTTTTAAAGCAACTTTCAAACAGAGATCCTGTAGACCACCCAAGTAGATTCAGAAACTGACTGTCTATACCTGGGGTTGGCAAATGTCTGGTAAACGGTTTCCTTGCCACTTGAATGGCTCTTTCACCGGCTCGGTGTCTGCTAATAGCTCTGGCAGGCTTTTCCCTTTTAAGTTAGGTAGGTCCTCACCAGAGGAAGTGAAGCCACAGAACAGGGGTGGGAAGAGGCTGGAGGCTGGGCATTAAGACCCAAGGGTGCCCCAAATTTTCAGGTGCCCCACACAGCTGCATGTTCAGATCTGAGGAAAGCCAGTCCTGCCGCTGGTGTGCTTGCGGCAAGCTCTCCTGCGCTCCCTGCCGTGTCACACAAGGCTGAGCCGTGCAGAAGTTGCACAAAAATCCCTTTGTCGACAGCAGCCGCAGGGCTGCAGCTGGGACAGCAAACGCACCGCGGTCTCCGCAGCACCAGTGACCTTCAAACGCCAGGGGAGCCGGCGCGCTCCTCCCCGCGCCAGGGATTGCGTTACATAACCTTGAACCGGGCGCCCGCCCTGCAGCTCGCTCGCCTCCCTCTGAATGGAGTCGGAGGAATTCCATTCACAAAATGGAGGGCTGGGGCAGGAGCCAGCGGCGCTCCCAGTGGGGCAGGCGGTGGTGTCGGCTTTCACCACGTGCTTTCTTTTCATCGGCCGCTGACCTCAGCCAGTGGCTGGGAACATGAGCCGGTGTGTGGCTGGCTGGCTGCCTGGAGCGAGTCGGGGACCATGAGACGGCTTCCCGGCTGGGAGGTTGTGTGGCAAGAGAAACCGGCCTTGTTCTGAGGAGCAAAGCTCTTCCGTGTAGGCTAACCCCAAACGGGAGAACTGGGGAGCCTGGCTTTGAGCTCACATTGTTGAGTAGACTCATTCGTCTCCCTGTAAGAGGGCTCGGGGCCACTAGATGGGGCAGTGCACCACGCCCAGGTGTGTGGGGTGCAGCTGGGGGTTGCAAGCTTTTTTTTTTTTTTTTCCTCATGACCCAGTTGAAGAAAAGTGTTGATGCCGCGACCTGACCGAATTTGACTGGAGCGTGGGCTCCGGGGTGGGGCTGAGGATGGGAGCTCTAGGTGTAAGAGGGGGCTCCAGCTTTGGGGGGATCAGGGCTGGAGCAGGAGGGGGCTTATCTTGAGGGGCTCCCGGTCAGTGGTGCAGGGGGGCTAAGACAGCTTCCTGCCTCTCCTGGCACTGCAGACCAGGCTGCACCCCAGAAGTAGCCAGCAGCAGGTTTCCAGCCAAGGAGAGTGCGGAGCTGGTGCACGGGGCAGGGCCAGTGCAGGGAGCCCTGGGCACTCCCCCACCCTCCAGGAGCGGGGCTTGCTGCCGGCCACTTCTGAGGCACCCCTAGAACACCCCCACTGCTCACCCGATCCCCCTCCAGTGCCCGACATTCCACCCCCCAGCACCAGGAAACGACCCGTCGTTTAAAAACCACTGGGCTACAGCAGCGCTATAGAAATATGTATTAACAATCTCCAAAGGGAACCTAACCCGTCAGGAAATGACATTGGTTTCTCTCAGTAAAAATCTTATTTTCCATCCGACTCCTGCCCAGGGTGTGGCCCCATGTTGCCAGGGTCCCCGCGAGAGCAATCACCCCCTGAAGAAGGCTACTCCCACTCTCCCGGCGTGTTAATGGCCACTTTGGCCTGGTTTTCCCGAGTAACCATACATTCCATCAAATCTCCCTCGGGAGCTCTGAGTGGATCTCTGTGCCGGCCATGCAGACACTACACCCGACTGTCTCCTCCCTGCTTCCAGGAGAAGGGCTTTCGGGAGACTCGCGTAGGCCTGTCAGAACCGGCCCGGCAGCCTGCAGTCAGCTCCGTGTTCCCCGGCCCTTGGCAACACAGCGCGGATGGCAAGTGCATTAAGCGAGAGGACAGAAGTAACCTGAGAAAGCGGCCAGTGACTTTCTCCGTTCTGGCCGGGGCTGGGAAAGAAGCATAGATGCTAGAGCGGGAGGTTCAAACTTTTTTCTCGTGCCCCAATTAAAGAAAATTGTTAATGCTGTGACCCAGCATAATTTGACTAGAGCGTGGGCTCCAGGGTGGGGCCGAGGGTGGGAGCTTTGGGGTATAGGAGGGGGCTGCAGCTTTGGGGAGGTGAAGGCAGGAGGGGCTTACTTTGAATGGCTCCCAGTCAGTGGGGCAGGGGGGCTAAGGCGGCTTCCTGCCTCTCCTGGCACCGCAGACCAGGCTGCGCCCCAGAGGCAGTCGGGGGCAGATTCCCACCTGGTGGGAGTGTGGAGCGAATGCTCGGGGCAGGGCAGTGGGCGAAGCTCTCTCCCCCAGGAGGCGATCCTGTTGCCAGCTGCTTCTGAGGCACAGCCTGCGGGGCCAGGACAGGCAGGGAGCTGCCTTAGTGCCCCCACTGCTCACTGGACCCCCTGCAGCGCCCCAGCGCTGGGTCATGCCCCATCGTTTGACAACCCCTGGGTTACAGTCACCGGGCAGGCTGTATGGGCTGCGTGGAACCCTTAAAAACTGCTAACCTGTGCACCCGCCTGGGTTTTCCCTTCTTGCTTTCTCTGCTGCTCACCCGAGCTGCCCATCTTTGCATGCAGCTCTCTCTCATTAACCCGGGGGGCCCAAGAGCCAGCCACACTACACCTGAGACATTTGACAGCTGAGAATGGGGCCTCCTTTCGTATTGGGCTATCACACGCTGGCGGAAGGGGAGCGGGGGAGGGCAGTTGCCTTGGTGCCTGGCAATTTATAAGGTGTTGGGAGCCAACAATGCTCCTACGGCTGCGGCTGGAGCTCTGGGCCCTTTAAATCGCCGCCGGAGCCCCGGGCTGTGTGCTCCGGGTGACTCGGGGTCGGGTGGGGGTGGGGGAGGCATGGGCAATGCTGAGAGCTGGATGCTCCGGCCTTGCCCCTTCCACCCAAGGCCCCCAACACCACTGGGAGCACAGCACTAGACTCCCCACCTCACTTTGCCCAGTGGCCTGGCAATTGTCAGCCCTCCGGTCTGTAACACTCAATGCAGCCCGGTGCGTCATCACCCTGAGCCTTAAATGAAAGGGAAATAGCCACCTGTGAGGGGCTAGCACCACGCCATGTGGCATCTTAGCTTCCCAGTGGCTGATTAGTATGGGCAGAATGGCCACCAGGGCACCTGTGCTTTTTCCTGGAGGCCTCTTCTTTCCAAAAAACTCCCTCTTCTGTCTCCACACCTACCTTTTTCTGAAAGAGTTCTTTCAGAAAAAGCGTTCTTCCTCACAGAACGAGGTTTACCCGTGTCGGAAAACCCCTGCGTTCTTTTGATTTTCTTTCAAAAGAATGTGATTGCAGCATGGACGGAGATGAAGTTTTTTCAGAAAAATGGCAGTTTTTCCGGAAAAACCCCCTGTAGGCTAGACCAGTGTTTTCCAACCAGTGGTACGAGTACTCTTAGGGCTGTGGTTCTCAACCGGTGGTCCATGGTGACTTTTTTGGTGGTCCACAGGAACATGGTCCAAAGTCACACAGCGTGAGTAGGCGCCGCCGTTAGGCTGTGTTACGCCGTCATCCACCTAGGACGCAACCGCGTTATGTTGCCAGTAACTTCCATCTGACGCTCTGAGCGTCAGTGTAGCTGCTGCCGTCGTGCTGAGTGGTTGCTGTGTCGTTCGTCCTGTGCTACATGTGCTGGGGGTGATCCACAAAAATTTTTTGATTGGCCTGGTGGTCCGTGGACTGAAACGAGTTGAGAACCACTGCCTTATGGGTACTTGAGAGAAGTCTGAGGGGGGTACATGAACACAACTGAAATTTGGAGAAAACTGAGTTTTTGTTTGAAGTTTTACAGCGCTTTATTATTTTTGTACTTTTTGCACCCAAAAATTTCATCGCCCGCCTGGCTCCGATTAAGTTGTTTAAACAAATGTGTTGCAATGGTAGAAAATTTTTGTGTGTGTCTGAAAACTGTAGGTACTGGGGGTACTTACAATCTTTTTTTTTGTAAAGGGGGTACTTTATAAAAAAAGGTTGAGAAACACTCTCTAAGACTCACCTTCAGTTGGGGTTGAGCAGGGCTTGGAGGTGGGGGGGAAGGTTGTGAAAGGGCACGATCTCGGAAAAGGGGTGTGGTTTTGGGAAGAAGGGGCGGGGCTTCGGCTGCCTTCCCCAGATGTGCCTTCACCAGCTGTCCAGGTCATCCTGGAAGAAAACTGCTTTGTGTGGTGTCGTAAGCGTACATCCCTTTAATCCGTGGCTACTGGAAACGTGGCGAGAGGACAAGCCCGAGAATGGGCGGGAGCTAAGATGGGATCTAGATTCTTGACTGGCCTGGCTGCTTTTGGCCCTGAGGGCCTGGCCTCGTCTGACAAGCAGGGCTGCCCTGAGGGGCTTTGTGCCTAGCAGTGACGTGTGTGTTGATCGTTCTGTAGATGTTCCTGGCTGTCCTTCCATGTACATGACCGCGGAGGGGTACCCGAGCCACTCAAACCCCGAAGGGACAGTAGGTAAGAACCCCCCCACGGCACTGTCGCTTCTGCATCTGCTCCTGCAAAGGGCCTCATGCCAGACGGCCGCATGGCTGTGTTCTCTGATTGCCCCTGCGGCTGTCTCTTCCAGGCTTCTACCACAAGCCGATGAGGCCGTTTGCTGATGATGTCTGTGTCGTCCCGGAGAAGTTCGAAGGTCAGGGAGAAATCCGGGTGTCTTCCCAGGCTTGGGGTCGGATGAGGTTTCCCCTGTGTGGCCATGTGAGCCGGCGTCCTCACACGACCGGCTCTGCTTGCCTTACGCGTGAGCCTCTCCCTTCGGTGCCGCTGCACCTGGCTGTACGAGACGTGTCTGCTCTGGGGCTTCCGGGGTGCTCGGTTTCTGCATTTTCCTCGCAGCAGGCGGACTTTTCAGGAAACCCTCTTGCCAAGGTCACAGCCCGGTTGCTAGTGCCAGCTGAGCACAGCCGCCCCAACCCAGCTGTTGTTACCAGTGCTGTTCCCTCTAATTTATCCATTTCAGGTGGAATCAATTTTGTTATGTGCACCAAGATATGTGCACCACTAATCGAAACACAGACTGGAGGCTTTGGGGGCTCTGCTAATCAATTGGGCTGCACTGGAATCTCTCCCAAGTGCTCAGCTTACAGGGAACACTAGTTACCAGTCGTTCCACCCAGGCCCCCCTAGAGCCACTGCAGCGTTGTCAGGATCCCTCTGCGGCCAGGTGGCAGCGTGTCTAACCTGAACTCATGCACAGTCCTGACAGGCAGCCTTCACCCTCCCTGGGTCACCACTTCGTGCCAGGAACCGGGCCCTGCATCTGCCCAGAATCCTGGTACCTGCATTTCTCAGCCTCTCTCCAGATCCCATGGGGGATTCATCCTCCCGCACTGGAAGCCCCCGGGCCAGCCCTGCCTTTGTGGACATTAGAGGGGGAGATTACTTAACAGGCTTAGATCCTGGGCACCAGCCAGCTGGGATGGCTGCACGTGAGCAGTTCTCGAGGAGTTGCTGGTGATCAGTAGGGTGACAGTCTTGGAAGGGGGCAGTCAAGCTCGGGGGGCAAAGGCACATTTGGTCTAAAACTCTAGTTGTGCTGAGTTCTCTCAGCCCTGCTCTATACTACGGCTTTATTTCAAAATAACCCCCGTTCGGTCGAATCGATAAGCGGAGAGTCCACACAAGCAAGCCCGTTATTTCGAAATAACTCCTGCTTTTCTCGAGGAATACCTCTAACTTTGAACTCGTTATTTCGAAAGAGCGGTCGTGTGGACACTCCGGGGCTGCTATTTTGAAATGATGGCTCCCCAGCGTAATTGGAACAAATTACTCCCCAGGGCTTCCTGTCGAGGTAGAGCACCCACATGAACGGAGCCTGCCGCCGACTAATCGCGAGGCTTCCCCGTTGTGTGGACACGCAAGTTCGATTTTGTTAAATCGGGAGTTATTAAATTGATTTTGGTTATTTTGAAATAGTTCCCGCGTGTAAAATCGACAAGGAGTCCTGTAGCACCTTATAGACTAACGGGTATATTGGAGCATTAGCTTTCGTGGGCAAAGACCCACTTCGTCAGATGCCCACGAAAGCTTATGTTCCAATACATCTGTTAGTCTATAAGGTGCCACAGGACTCCTTGTCGCTTTTGCAGATCCAGACTAACACGGCAACCCCACTGAGACTTGTTCCTTAGTGTAGACGCCCTAAGAGGGCAGCTGGTTCCTTTAGCACCCATCTCTGGAGAATGGGTGACAGGAGAGAGCCCTTCTTATGAAGGGACATAGCAAAACCTTTTGTGTTTGTTCTGCCCTGCAGGAGACATCAAGCAGGAAGTGGGCGGGTACCGGGAAGGGCCCCCCTACCAGCGCAGAGGGTCTCTACAGCTCTGGCAGTTCTTGGTGGCTTTGCTGGATGATCCAACCAACTCCCACTTCATCGCCTGGACCGGCAGAGGGATGGAGTTCAAACTCATTGAGCCTGAGGAGGTGAAAACACTTCAGCTTCTACTCATGCAGCAAGAGGGGCCCCAAGGTTGCGCGATTCATTCTGCGGATCCCTGGGGGCAGGGGCCTTTGGCACATGTCTGTAAAGTCTTCTGACCATCAGGGTGGTTAAACATTGGAATAAATTGTAGAGGGAGGTGGTAGACTCTCCATCACTGGAGATATTTTTGAGCAGGTTGGACAGACACCTGTCAGGGATGGTCTAGATCAGTGGTGGGCAATAATTTTTGAAGGGGGGGGGGTCCACTTCAAAAAATTGTGAAGTGGTCGTGAGCTGCTCCAGAAGGGGCGGGACCTTGACAGGAGGGATGGGGCATCGAGCAGAAGGGGCGGGGCCTCAGCTGGAAGGGGTGGGGCCTTTAAATAGCAGGAGTTGAAAGGGCTTGCGCCTCCCCTGTGCTCTAGAGGGTGCTTGCTCCTGCAAGGCAGGGGACTGGACTTGATGACCTCTCGAGGTCCCTTCCAGTCGAGGTGTTCTATGATTCTATGAATCTAGGGCTGCAAGTTGCCTTAAGAGGCCCCACTGGAGCTGTGGTTTTAAAGGAGGAGGCCATGGCAGCTGAGTGCCTGAATAGCCCATTTTTAGGATGGCCATCCCCGACATTCGAGCAGGTGCACAATCAGGGTCAGTGGGTCCCCAATACAGGAGATGGGTTTCCCCTCCAATCGCTCACTCCTTAGAGGCTCAGAGTTGCTAAAGGGAGCTGCCGTGGGTGGGTCTCTCAGTTGGCCTCTTACCATGGGGTTTTGTGTTTGGGCTGCCGCTGTCCCCACAGAGTGTGTGCCACCTGCCTCGCAGTCAGTGCCCATTACGGTCTCTGATCTGAGGCAGGGGCGTGCCTCACTGCTCACCGCATTTGAAAAAAGAATCCGGGGGAAACCATGTCCTTGCCGAGGGATGGATGGATTCGAAGTGCCATTAACAGAGAGATCGCTTCTAGGGCCACCAAGTTCCAAACAGAGCAATAAACTCTGATAATAGCTGGGAGATGTGTCTGGAACATCCATTAATGTCTGGATCTGATTTATGGCTGTGTTTAGAGGCTGCTGTAGCTCATCTCCAGCCTCTTACGAACATGTGCAGTGCAGATGGGCTGAGTCACTTTGCTGGGTCACTCCGCTATTAATACTCGCTTGCAAGTGTTTTCTCAGCATCGTGCTGGTATAATAGCTTAGTGCTCGTCCTGCGAGGCTGAAGATGGTTTCAGGTGAAGTGGCCCTTTTCCAGTGCTGACATATGGGCATGGCTCACCAGTATATAGGCACCGGCTAAAACAGCCAAGCGCTTTGCATTTTGCCATGCATTAAGTTTGCAGATGATACCAGGCTGGGAGAGGTTGCAAGGGCTTTGGAGGATGGGATGAGCATTCAAAATGATGGGGACAAACTAGAAAAATGATCTGAGGGCAACAGAACAAAATTCAACAAAGGCAAATGCAAAGTACTCCACTTAGCCATGGTCTACACTAGGGCTACGTCTACACTGGCATGACTTTCCAAAAATGCTTTTAACGGAAAAGTTTTCCGTTAAAAGCATTTTCGGAAAAGCACGTCTAGATTGGCAGGATGCTTTTCCGCAAAAGCACTTCTTGCGGAAAAGCGTCCGTGACCAATCTAGATGCGCTTTTCCGCAAAAAAGCCCCGATCGCCATTTTCGCGATCGGGGCTTTTTTGCGAAAAACAGTACTATGCTGTCTACACTGGCCCTTTTGCGCAAAAGTCTTTCGGAAAAATACTTTTGCCCAAACAGGAGCAGCATAGTATTTCCGGAAAAGCACTGATGATTCTACAGGAGATCATCAGTGCTTTTGCGGAAATTCAAGCGACCAGTGTAGACAGCTGGCAAGCTTTTCCGCAAAATCACATGATTTTGCGGAAAAACTTGCCAGTCTAGACATAGCCTAGGGGTATGTCTAGACTACATGGCTCCGTCGATGGAGCCATGTAAACTAGTTTACCCGGCATAGTCAATGAAGCGGGGATTTAAATAATCCCCGCTTCATTAAAATAAACATGGCCGCTGGGCTGTGCTGACGATCAGCCGATCCGGCACAGCGCAGCAGTCTAGACGTGGATCTGTCGGCTGGGGAAGCCTTTGCCGAGTGATCCCTTATGCCTCGTGAAACTTATGCCGCTTCATTGACTATGCCAGATAAACTAGTAGTTTTTCATTGACTATGCCGGGTAAACTAGTAGTTTTTCATTGACTATGCCGGGTAAACTAGTAGTTTTTCATTGACTATGCCGGGTAAACTAGTAGTTTTTCATTGACTATGCCGGGTAAACTAGTAGTTTTTCATTGACTATGCCGGGTAAACTAGTAGTTTTTCATTGACTATGCCGGGTAAACTAGTAGTTTTTCATTGACTATGCCGGGTAAACTAGTAGTTTTTCATTGACTATGCCGGGTAAACTAGTAGTTTTTCATTGACTATGCCGGGTAAACTAGTAGTTTTTCATTGACTATGCCGGGTAAACTAGTAGTTTTTCATTGACTATGCCGGGTAAACTAGTAGTTTTTCATTGACTATGCCGGGTAAACTAGTAGTTTTTCATTGACTATGCCGGGTAAACTAGTAGTTTTTCATTGACTATGCCGGGTAAACTAGTAGTTTTTCATTGACTATGCCGGGTAAACTAGTAGTTTTTCATTGACTATGCCGGGTAAACTAGTAGTTTTTCATTGACTATGCCGGGTAAACTAGTAGGAGCCATGTAGTCTAGACATACCTTAAGGCTTCATTTCAAAATAACCCCCCTTTGGTCAAATTAATAAGCGGAGCGTTCACACAACCAAGCCTGTTGTTTCGAAATAACGGGCCACTTATTTTGAAATTGGTACTCCTGCTTTTCTCGAGGAATAACACAGATTTCGAAATAGTCCTTTCGAAACAGCGGTAGTGTGGAGGCTCCGATGCTGCTATTTTGAAATAACCATTCCCCAGAGTAATTTGAACGAATTATCCACATTAACGGAGCCTGCCTCAGACTAATTTTGAAGCTTCTCCGTAGTGAGGACATGCTAGTTGGTTTTTGTTAAATCAGGAGTTAAGTCGATGTAAGTAATTTCAAAATAGTTTCCTAATGTAGACATGCCCTTAGAGAAAAACAATGAGTTTCACACATACAGAATGGGAATCGACTGTCTAGGAAGGAGTCCAGCAGAAAGGGACCTAGGGGTCACAGTGGACTTCAAACTAAACATGAGTCAACAGTGTGACGCTGTTGCAAAAAAAGCGAACATGATTCTGGGCTGCATTAACAAGTGTGTTGTGAGTAAGACACGAGAAGTCATTCTCCCTCTCTACTCTGCGCTGATTGGGCCTCAACTGGAATGTTATGTCCAGTTTTGGGCACTGCATTTCAGAAAAGATGAGGACAAATTGGAGCTGGTCCCAAAAAGAGCAACAAAAATGATTACGAGTCTAGAAAACATCACCTAGGAGAGAAGATTGAAAGAATTGGGTTTGTTTACTCTGGAAACGAGAAGACTGAGAGGGGACAGGAGAGCAGTTTTCAAGTACCTAAAAGGGTGTTACAAGCAGGAGGGAGAAAAATTATTCTCTTTAACCTCCAATGACAAGACAAGGAGCAATGGGCTTAAATTGCAATGAAGGAGGTTTAGGTTGGACATTAGTAGAAACTTCCTAACTGTCAGGGTGGTGAAGCACTGGAATAAATCGCCTTGGGAGGCTGGTGAATTTTCATCATTGCAGATGTTTCAGAGCAAGTTAGACACACACCTGTCAGGGATGGTGCTTGGTCCAACATTGAGGGCAGAGGACTGGACTTGGTGACTTCTCAAGGTTCCTTCAAGTTCCAGTAACTTGAGGCCATTTAATCCGCCACTCAGAACCCAAGATTACCAGCCCCCTCAAGCCCCTGGCTTCCTGTTGCTATGCTGGGGAATTGAGGAGGCAGTGTGAACGGAGCTCACACACACACACACACACACACACACACGCACACACACACACACACACACACGTACGTGCCACGCGCTCCTTTCCCTGCTGTTGTGTCCCGCAGGTGGCCAGGCTGTGGGGTATCCAAAAGAACCGGCCAGCCATGAACTACGACAAGCTGAGCCGGTCCCTTCGCTACTATTACGAGAAGGGCATCATGCAGAAGGTCAGTGGGCGAGGGGCAGCCAAGTTCTAGGCCCTGCCCTGACAGTGTCTTGCTTGTGATTGGAGGCCTTCGCTGACTCCCTAGGACAGTTCAGAGCAGCGTCTCCCTGCCCCGTGATTTTGGGGGCCGCCTCATCCGTCCTATGGACGGGCCAGGCACGGGGTGGCAGCAAGGGGTCCCCCCCCCCCCCCACATTTGGGGGTGGG